CTTACACCTATCAATCAGTTAGTCATACAAGGGTGTGCCGGCAGGTTCTGGTGGCAATCCAGAACACTCCGCGGGGCAAAAAAGGGGGAAGATGATCAACATGGTATAATAACTGTTACTATATCACAATAACAGGGCGAATAAAGAGGAATGGGTGCATAGTAGAATCGATGAAGTTAATGTGTTCTTGAAGTGGTGTTATTTGTCGTGGATGTGCTCTTGAAGCTTGCGAGCGCTGGTGGCGGATGGCGGAGGTAGTTGAGGCAGTCATCCTTGGCGCATCGGTAGATGATGAGGTAAAATTATAGTAATCATTTTATGATGTGTAATAGAGCAATGATAAATTTGACTGAGCTATACCGGGGTTCCCGTACACGATCAGGGATTTGCAAGGCTTCAATGATGTTGATGTAGGTGATTCGCCAGTATTGGGAGAAAGTAGTGGTGAAATCATAGAGATTAGCGTGGTGAATTCGTACAAAGAAGTTAATGAAATTTGAGAAAACCTTTCGTTCTAATGTTTAAAATAAGATAGTGACCTATTGAAATGTTTATCGTTTATTTCCCTGGGATATCTCCACTATCGAATGGATTATGCTTAATGAATGGCATCAACTTTTGCTGCCATGGCAAAAGTAACTTTTCTTTGCCAATGGACTCCTTGAGAGGATTTTCCTTTGTTGTTGATGAAACTTTTCGATAATTTTCAGAATGTTGGTAGCGGCGTTTCCCATAATAATTGAGGGTTGAATCCGAACTGCGTGCGGTTGTTCCTGTTTTTTGCTGAGCAGATGCATTTGGAGCATCATTTTTGACCCAAAGCGTGCCCCGAGGAAATGGCCTGCCTGACGGTCTTCTAACTGCGGCCGTACCACTGCCCTTAAGGTCATCCAATAGGGCATAATTGTCTCTGAAGTAGTCTTGATGATCTCTAGGAGGGACACTAGTAGGGCAAGACGCCACAGTGCGCTCATTAACACAGACCATTTCTTCTCTGGCACCTTTAGAAATCATGTTTTCTTCGGGCTTACTTCCCACTGGTTCAGTGCCCAGCCTTTTTTGTTCAGACGTTTTTCGACTGCGCTCTTTATAATGGTTAGGTACTTCAGATATTGATGTCATGGAATATGAGAGATTTCCAGTATCGCTCGTGTTTATTGTCCCGCGACCATATAAAGTTGGACCGAAAATGGTTTTTGCAATATGTAACCCCGATGGGGTTCGACTGGTGATTACATTTGAACGAACTAGGTCGTAGTAGTAGTCAAGACCAACTAAGATTTGGGGAACTTGACGTTCACCTCGGATTTTTGAATTTGCGATGAAGATTTCTCGGTCTTGGAGAAATTCTGCGTCAATTTTTGTAAGTTTAACTGACGGAAACTCGCCTGTTATTATAGGTTTTGTTTTTATAGCCGTGTTGAGTTCTTGTCCGTGTGCGCTACATATTTTGAGGGTGACTAGGTGACTTACGAATTTTTCCGTATGTCCCCCTATCCCTGACATTACGCACGTTTCTGTTTTGAGTTTCGGCAGGACCTAATCGTTCTGCAAGCGCTTCCTCGATTACGGTCTTTTGCGCGCCAGTATCGAAGAAGAATAATACTTTCTCGAAGGCACTCGTTCTCTGATTCCAGACGTTTCCTTCAGCTGTCATTAGCACGAGCTGTTCATTTTGCTTACTGCAAGCGTTGGCAGAATCACCATTCTCGATGTTTTGATTGGAAGAGAGTGGTTGCTCTAGACTGTTGTAACTAAATCTAGCATCGCTTCCCGTGTTAACAGTATTTCTGTTTACTGCAGGATTGGGTCTCGGAAATCGGTTGGGTACGCTGTCTGAGGTGTTTTCATTCCTTGCCCAACGATTCGAGGTGAAGGGTGGGGTGTCCCTGTAGTTGGAACTTCCAAGCCTTTCGGTTCTAACGCACACGGAGTAGTGGTGTAAGCCCCCACAGTCCTTACAATCAGGGTTACCGCAGTCGCTGCTAGAATGACTACTCTCAAAGCATTTCCAGCAGTATCTTTTCTCTTTTAAAGACACATGGTACGCTCAAACACATTGAGGGTGTATGAGACTAACAGCCCCCCAGCTGTCGATGTGTCGTGGTTTCCCCGCCTGAAACTGCACGGGGGTCCGAGTACGGGACCGTGGGAAAGGCTTATTCCTTGCTACACCGCCCAAAATGCAACTTGCGCGCGGCGAAATGCAACTTGCGCGCGGTGAATTTTGGGCGGTGTAGCAAGGAATAAGCCTTTCCCACGGTCCCGTACTAGGACCCCGTGCAGTTTCGGGCGGGGAAACCACGACACATCGACAGCTGGGGGCTGTTAGTCTCATACACCCTCAATGTGTTTGAGCGTACCATGTGTCTTTAAATGTCTCGACGGCGCTGACGGTCAATCACCGTTCTACACAAGGGAGATGCGTGATTGGTTTTATTGCAAAACACACACCCTACTTGGCGGCTGGAACTTTCTGCCTTAAAGCCACTGCTCCGACTTGGGTATCTGGCCCCGAGTCGGGATTGGACGTAGGCCTTAGCACTTATCTCTTTGTCCAAGGCGTCCAATAGGGTTTCAATTTCCATAGTATCAGTTTCCTGATGCTTCACGAGAATGTCTTTAACGATCCCGTACGGAAATTTATTTAATATGGCTTCTGACCACATTGGGTCGCTAGTTCGCCTTATATCGTACCCTGCCGACACCATTTGATTTACTAGGGTTTTAATTGTATCGAAGCATTCTTGGCAGCTTTCCGCTTCCTTAGATGCCGCTTCAAGATCGAACAGTTTTTGCACGATCTTTGACTTGTTTGCTGGCTTATTGGCGTACCTTTTTGTAAGGGTTTCGATCATCCACCCGTAGTTTTTGGGTATAGGTTGGATGCCTTTTAGAATTTTTTCTGCTGCCCCCTTTAGACTTTCTTTCAGTAGAACTACTTTTTCTAGTTCGCTGATTTCGTCATTGTTATGGATCAGCGTTTCAAATATAGCCCAGAATTCCGGGAACTCCTCTGGTATTCCATTAAATTGGGGCAATGTAATGGTGGGGGCTTTTATCGCCCGATATCTTTCTGCTGTAATTAAGGGGCCATCGCTTGACGGATTCTCGGAATTGGTATCTTCCAGATTACCTTGTCGCGAGTTATGTGAGGTGCTAGCCTCGCACGAGATTTTTAGCTTGCGTTGGACCTTTTCTAATTCTATTTTCGTGTCCAACAGGTTGCTTTCGAGGATACGCACAAATGCGCTGGATTCCCTGAGTAATTTATAGAACTGAGTTTCCTTATCTAACTCGTCTATCTCAGCGTTGAGTTCTTTTAGTTCTGTCCTTGACTTAGTAGAAGAACAGATATCTTCCAAGAGGGTCGCTTTAGTTTGGAGGATATCCCTAGCCCCTTTCATTTCTGTTAGGCAGGCACTTAGGCGTCGCACATCAGTGGTGCACACCTCATATAACTCATTATCCTCTTGTGTGTACACTACTTTTTGTCTATATCCCCCAAATTGCTCTAGGATTTCCGCTACGTCTGCGGCGCTATTAATTACAGCTCTTTTAATTAAATGAATTGACGACATTTTGAAGTGTATGACGCGAATTAGGTTACAATTTAATAAATTGAATGGAAAACGAAATGTATATCCTTAAGGATTAAGCTCTTCTTAAATTCTTATTCTTTGTGGGTACCTGCTCAGGGTTGCTTCTCGGCTCGATGTACCAGAATGTGTTGGTAGATAAGTGTGGCAGTCGTTTATTGGAGTCGACTGCTCGGTTGTATGGTTCGTGGTAGAATGCTCAATCTATCTAGGCGTGCCTCTCAATACAGGAGAGGTCACGCATCGAGTATCTAACCGTTTACCTATGGGTCATAATCACATGTCTTAATATTGCCTATGGCTTACACCTATCAATCAGTTACTCATAAAGGGTGCGCCGGCAGGTTCTGGTGGCAATCCAGAACAAGTTTCACCAGGGATAAAAAACAAGTTGCACATCATTGTGGCTCCTGCAAGTCTTGGTGAGTGTCTTTCATAAGTCACTAATACATGAATGAAGTAGGATATAAAAAGGGATTATCCTTGTACACCCTCGCCTTCAACTCCTTTCAGACCCTCGCCTTACACGACTGCAGTTCGAGGTGCTCCCTCCCCAGAGTTGATACCAATATCGGGAAGTAACTATGTCTCGTACATCGAATGCCATCGCAAGCCATATCAAGGCGATAATCAAAGAAAGCCACTACGATTCTGAATGGAAGTTCAATACGTCTCGCATTATAAAAAGTGTTGATCAATGGCAAAAGCTTTATCCTCTATTCGAAAAAATAGTATGAAGGCAGTATGAAGGCGCACAGTACGACTCGTTAATGTCAGTTGCTAAAGCGGGTATGCGGCAACAGTTCATGGAGAAGGAGTGATACAAACGACATGACACAGTCTTGTCCTTTCCTGCTTCAGCAACTCGTGGCACAGCATCCGTTCAACATTGTATGTAACTTCTCCTTCATTTCGTATTGCAAGCGAAGCTGGCAGCCGTGTTCTCGTTAGAACGGGTTTGGCACAAACTATCTCGTCTGGCACGCTCCTTCTTCCGCGGTGAACTACACTATATCAAGCTCCCATCTCGTACAGTATACTTGTATGTATGTCCTTTAGGCGATGGAGGTAATTCTTTGTCACTCACTTTTCTCTAGAAAGAGTTTGTATACAGTTTTCAGCACTATTCTTATTTTGATAGAGACAGATACCTGAAGTACATTTGGGTCGGTAGTAGTAGGTAGTAGTGAGTTTATACGAGACGGGGTGGTCTCAGTGGTGGTGGTGGGTCCGAGACGGGGTGGTTTCGGATCGTGCAGTAGTAGAATGTTGCATACGAAACCAGGCGTACCTCAGTCAAGCGAGGTCGTGCCTAAATTATGTAGTTAATACTTAGAGGCCTCGATCGCATGCCGCAATGGTATCTATTAGGTTGTTCGGAAAGAAATGCGCGTTTGAGTTTAAAAAATTTTTTATTATAAAAACGAAATTAAACAAGATTAATTCAAAAGATAATCTCCATTACTATCAATGACTTGTTGCCAACGTTTATGCAAAGAATGGATTCCTCTTTCGAAGAACTCGGCCGGCTGCGACTCAAAGTAGTTGGACACCCAGAGTTGGACTTCTTCGCGGTTTGTGAACTTTCTCTCGGCCAGGGAGTGCTGCATCGACCGGAACAGATGGTAATCGGATGGTGCCAGGTCTGGGCTGTATGGCGGATGAGGCAGGACTTCCCAGCCCAATTCCTCAATTTTTTCCAAAGTGATTTTCGCGACATGTGGACGAGCGTTGTCGTGGAGGAGTTTTGTCGACGTCGTTTCGACACCTTGACGACGCAGTAAGAAGAGAGAAGAAGTAACTTTTTTCTTCAAAAAAACAAAGTAGACATAGACAAAATATATAAAAAATGCACAATAAAAATCTCCTAATAGACAAAACTGTTTTAAAAAATCTATAGTAGGAGAGAAATAAATGGACAAATTCAACGCGCATTTCTTTCCGAAAAACCTAACAGGTTTCACAGATATCAATCAACTAATGATGCCGACAGGTTCTGATAACTTCCTACAGCACATTTTGCGACTAGCTATCGAATATAATCATAAGTAGCGAAGTTGAGAAATAGAAGTACTGGTTAGTTGGTTCACGCTTGAAAATAGGCGGAGGAAACCACTGGAAGCGTCCTATTAGGACTCTCCTTATTCCAGGCGAGGCGAAGAATCGTTGCGATTCTGGGCGGGAGGGTGTGGGGGAGCAGTGAGAGTGCATTTCAAATAAGCAAGACGTAGCCATCAACGCGAAGTCGCCTGCGCTCAGGAGTCATTCGAGCAAGCTTGCATGTTGACACCCTTACCTTGCAACTTTCTGCCACGAAACTGGTAAAAGGGTTTAGAGCGTGTTCATACTTTTCGTCAACGTTTTGAGCGTGCGGCAATATCTTGAGTCTACGCCAGGATTTTGAGCGTTTCGAGCGACAAGGGAAGTATAGATATCGATCCAGCGTTTTGAGCGTACGCAAGCTTTTAACACGTTGACGACAATCGCGTTTTGCGGGAAAGCGCCGCGTGGGACAATGGCGCGCTTTCGCATGCGTCCGGCCTGACAAGGGAACCCCAACAGGTCGATCCGGCCATTCGTAATGAGATGTATATGTATGGACGTGTCTTGAGCCGCTAAATCCAAATCTGTTCTCCAAATTTGCGGAACGATTCTCTGAAGGGAGTTACGGACCCTTTAATCTTGGCTCAGTTTGCACAACTTGAGAAGGATAACTGCATGCGGCAAGCGGCCGATGGCCTAGTGGATATGCGCACTGCTTCAGAAACACGAGGTCGCATGTTGGAATCCTTGACTCTGAAAATTTTTGCTTTTGTTTAAAACACTTGATATGAGCCACCAAAAAACTTCTGTTCAGCCGTTTCGCCTAGTTTTTCGATTATTTGCCAACGGAAGGCGGGCGATTCTCTTTTTGTGACTTCTTTTGAAAACTTTTATCATAAGGCTAACCGTTTCCAGAGATTGCATCAATGAATGAGGATCTTAAGGTTTAGGAGCACATATGGTATTCTTCCACGAAATGGTAGAAACAATACAACTTCTCACAATGAGCACAGCGAATGAAAAAGTACTCCGCACACCTGGTACAGTTATACCACTCCAGCGGGGGAGCAGTACTTAAATTTTGTTTTTGGTTCCAACAGTATTCTGTCTTCGTGATCTGCGCCGGATAGATATGGTCAGCCCTCATGATTGTGATCGACACGTGGCATTCCGCATAAAGCAATCGCGGTTGATTTCTTGTTCTATCGACATGTTTTGCCCAAAGCTGGTACTGGCGTATCTGTTGAGGGACTTCGGTTCCTGTGAAATAACACGCCTACCATCTCGTAAGGAGCGTAGAGTAATAGACAGCTTTGGGTCTATCTTGCGAGACGCCGTTTACGACAACTTAATAATCGGCGTCGACGAGAGGAGGACTATGTGGAAGAGGATGAGGAAGACCTCCTATGGAGCCCCGAGGACGAGGAGTGCGAGAAGCTGAAAGGCGCGGCATTCTCAATTTTGCTCACATAGATTCAAAAACTTCTTATCTATTCTTGGTACTCGGCTGGATACTTCGATGCACATCCTGGTGAGTTCGAAACACCTCTTCAGTACTGCTTCCCCTCTGGACTGGTGGAGAACTGTAACTGTACCGTGTGTGCAGAGTACTTTTCATTCGCTGTGCTCATTGTGAGAAGTTGTATTGTTTCTCATTTCGTGGAAGAATACCATATGTGCTCCTAAACCTTAAGATCCTCATTCATTGATGCAATCTCTGGAAACGGTTTCGATGATAAAAGTTTTCAAAAGAAGTCACAAAAAGAGAATCGCCCGCCTTCCGTTGGCAAATAATCGAAAAACTAGGCGAAACGGCTGAACAGAAGTTTTTTGGTGGCTCATATCAAGTGTTTTAAACAAAAGCAAAAAATTTTCAGAGTCAAGGATTCCAACATGCGACCTCGTGTTTCTGAAGCAGTGCGCATATCCACTAGGCCATCGGCCGCTTGCCGCATGCAGTTATCCTTCTCAAGTTGTGCAAACTGAGCCAAGATTAAATGGTCCGTAACTCCCTTCAGAGAATCGTTCCGCAAATTTGGAGAACAGATTTGGATTCAGCGGCTCAAGACACGTCCACACATATACATCTCATTACGAATGGCTTCTGAGCCACCGGTGGCTCATGTTGTCCCCCGTGAACCACTTTTTTGCCACTCATGAGCTTGATTCTCTTTCTGCAAAAAAATGATATTCAAATTACCAAAAAAAAACTATGTAATTACACAAAATGCAGGCAGGCGTAGGCACAACTGCGCTTACGGCCCCTCCCTTGCGGTCAAACGACCGCCGTTGTGGTTTCTACAAGGCGTGCTTTGAACCCTGATATTTCTAGATTCCCCTTTTCCTGTCGAATACGCTGCAGATGGCTAGGTCGTGGGCTGCAACCAGGTCCCCTACTTTTTCTTAGCGTTCGTCATGCCATTTCCAACTTCAGTCGCTCTGCGTCGGTACTCTCTTTTTAGACCTTTTTGTCACTATCAATTTGGCCATGGCTATATAACCAGCTTTCAAAATCGGCCTGGTACTTTGAAATAGGCCAAAATAGAACTCCCTTTTCCGTGGTTGACGCAGTTGGATTGCAGTTCGTGAACGAGTAGTACTTCAGCGTTCCTTTCCTTCAATTCTATCTCCCTATGATACGATCATTGATCCTATTCACAAGGAAAGTGAAGTCCTTGGGGGAATTACGTCAAGGCCACGCTCTATTCCTTACTCGGCTCTACTTTATTATTTCATGTAGACTTTGAAATAGAAACAAATAGAACATCACCCGGATTTTCTTGTAGAGCTTGTCATAGAGAAATAGCGATGTGTTCTTTCTACTACGGACACCTAATATAAATCCTTAAGAACTTGCGCTTTCGAGGTGGTCGGTGGAAAGGAAGCCATTAATGTGGATCTGAGAAGAACTAAGCATATTCTCTTCACTCCTCGTGACTCTTACATGATCACTTATGAGCCATACATCACGTATGGACAGAAGGTTTGTTTTGAAGCAGTTAACATCTAATGTGAGATACGTATCATGGATTCATAGTCCAAATTAAGTCGTCACCGACCCAGAAGCCTGAACCGAACATGCGGGTTTTCAGCGTAGCGGATGGCAAGCAAGTGGCAGCGTTAGTTGCTTTGAAGGAGGTATATTTTCTTGTGTTTGGTTGGTGTTCTGTAGTGTTATGGAATCATAGCTTTGGCGTTTTATTCTTTTATCTGTTAGTTATCAACACAAGTGTGTCGCTTGCTTTGTTTCGACCGTAGGAAAAGTATAGTTGTGGTTCCTGAAAAAAGAATAAATGCAAACATTCACTGAGTTCCGTGGTATCGATTTGTGAACGTTGTTATGGAAAGCGGACAACTTATGAAATCCAGCATAACCAAAATAATGGGTCTCTAGGGCTATTTAGCTAATGGCGGTCATCAGATTTGTGACATGGGTTATGGCAGCGATGCACATGAAGGCGCTTTCCACTGTGGCCTGGCCTGAATACAGGGAGAGAGAAAGCATGGAAACTTTCTTTTTTTTGTTCCACTACCAAGAAAAAGCGAAATCGTTCCAAATCATGATAGTAGACGAGAAATTATGGGGTAGAGCGATGATGAGGTCTTCGTCGATGCTTACAAGTTTGACCTTGACCATTTGACCTCGACTTTGACCTTTACGCCACCATTTCTGAAGAGGCGCATTCCGCCACTTTCCTTCAGAAGAAGGCATACAAAGCACGAAGGATTGCTTTTATAACAAATCTGGCATACAGTTAATAATTTTCATCCAACGAGTACATGTAAGTTATACTCCACACTTACCAAGGAAGTATGGTAGGTTGAAGTGGCCTTTCAAAATAAAAAAAGGTCACACACGGATTACGAAACCGTTTTCCGTATCTGCTGCAGACCTCCCAAAGTAAAGTTACGGGCCTTTCTAGGGCGAGCATACTGGCATTTAATACGAATTAGCCGCGTAACCCACTGAAAGCAGTGTCGCCGAGTAGATACGTCGTAGGTCTCACGAACACATGGTTGAGGGTTTGAATCCTTGATGCGTGGGCTATATTGCATTTCTCTGACAGTGGTCTCTGTGCGCATTTTTGCGAACTCTTGTGCTTGATAGGTCGTCAAGGTATGATTCCATTCTAGCGGAGCCATTGTGGACGATTCCATGGAGAACGCTACTGAATCTGTCACACGAGCCGAAGACTTTAAGCAGGTGCAAAACACCACTGTGGGTTAGATAATCTTTCAACAACGTTTTGCTATCATGATTTCTGACAAGATTGTAACATCAACGCCGCGATGGGAAGCCTTTCAAAGTATACTCATCTTCATGCACAACTTCTCATGGTTTCCAGCCATAACTTTTGGAGAATGAAGCCATTTTCCTAGGCAAGCTCATTTGTTCTCAACAGCCAATTCTCCATGGAATCGTCCATAACGGCTCTACTAATTCAGAAACATCA